TTAAAAAGTTGCATGAGACCTTGATGGACTATTTGGACTATAATGTGATTTTGATGGGAGATATGAACGGAGTGGTATCTACACATATGGACAAGGCACAAAGACAGGTAGTCACTAAGGATGGCAGATTACCGAAAACCCTTTTCGAGATGACAGACAATTTGGACTTAGTTGATATCTGGAGAACAAAAAATCCCTTGGCTAGAGAGGGAACCTTCTTCTCTGAAGCCAAAATGACATGGACAAGAATTGACCAAATATGGGTAACTAGAGGAATGGCACCAAAGACAAGAAAAGTGGAAATCTGCCCAAAAACCTGCTCTGACCATAATGCTGTGAAGATGGAGATGAAACTAACACCAACTGGCTCCTTCAGATGGAGGATGAATGACACCTTATTTAGAGATGAAGAAGTGACTAAGAAGGCCCAAAAAACCTTGAGAGACTATTTTGAGACATATATTAACTCTAATGTTTTATAAAGAGTAATCTGGGACGCAAGCAAAGCTGTTATGAGAGGGTTCTTGATACAACAGAATGCAATAAAGAAGAGAATTCAAAATGAGAAGAAAGATAAAATATTGGAGAAAATAAAGGAAAGTGAAAAGAAATTGAGAGCAAAACCAAAGTCGCAAGAGATCTTGAGAGAAATAAAGTTATATCAAGTACAATACATGAAAATGATGAATCAGGAGATAGAATGGAAAATTAAACACAGGAGACAAAGACATTTGAGTCAGCTAATAAATGTGGAAATTGCTGGCTTGGCAAATGAAAAAAGACAAAACTGAATAGTATTATAAATTTAGAAGTGGAAGGAAAGAATATACAGAACCCAGTTGAGATTAGAAACTGTTTCCAGAGGTATTTTAAACAACTATATACACAAGGGCCACAGAAAGAAATTGATGTAGACCGATTTTTGAAAATAAATGGATTACAAAAAAATCTCTCAAGAAAATAAATTAATGCTGAATTATAAAATAACTGAACAGGAGGTAGAAGGTGCCATTCAGAATATGCAATTAGGTAAATCTCCAGGACCGGATGGACTGACTTCTAGATACTACAGATCTTTAAGAGAATGGTTAGTACAACCTTTAAAGGAAGTCTGTAATGAAATAATGGATGGGAAAAGGGCACCAGAGTCGTGGAAAGAAGCGTATATTACACTTATACCGAAAACAGAGACTGAAAAGACGCAGCTTAAGAACTACCGCCCTATATCACTGCTTAATGTGGATTATAAAATCTTTGCAGACATTTTGGCTAAAAGACTAAAAAAAGTGTTAATGGAAGAGATTCATAAAGACCAAGCAGGCTTTCTCCCGGGTAGACACTTGTCTGATAACATGAGAAACATAATCAATATTTTAGAAAAATTACAAGTGAATATTAATACCAAGGCAGTTTTGATATTTGTGGACGCGGAGAAAGCTTTTGACAACATTTCTTGGAGTTTTATGAAGAAGAATCTACAGGGGATGGGGGTAGGTCAAGGCTTTGGAAACGGTATAAGTGCAATTTATTCAGAACAAAAGGCTAAATTAATTGTTAACAACGTGGTGACGGAGGAATTTAAGATAGAAAAAGGGACACGACAAGGTTGCCCTTTATATCGGTCTTTATATATATTGCTCTTTATATCGGTCCTGGAGGTCCTGTTGAATATGATTAGAAGGGACCAGTTGGTTAAAGGTATACAAGTCGGAGCTAAACAGTACAAATTGAGAGCATTTGCAGATGACTTAGTATTGACATTACAGGAGCCAGAATCTAGTACCAAAAGAGTTTTGGAACTGATTCAAGAATTTGGTCAGGTTGCAGGATTTAAACTGAATAAGTTAAAAACAAAGGTTTTAGAGAAAAATTTAACAGCGATTGAGAGAGAGAGGTTTCAGAATGAGACAGGTTTAACAGTGGTTAAGAAAGTGAAATACCTGGGGATTAACATGACAGCTAAAAATGGGAACTTATTTAAAGACAATTATGAAAAATGCTGGACTGAAGTGAAAAAAGATTTAGAAATTTGGTCAAATTTGAAGCTTTCACTGCTAGGCCGTATTGCTGCGATAAAAATGAATGTATTGCCTAGAATGTTGTTCTTGTTTCAAACATTGCAAGTTTTGGACAAAATGGATTGTTTCAAGAAGTGGCAGAGAGATATTTCTAGATTTGTCTGGCAGGGCAAGAAGCCTAGAATAAAATTTAAAATACTAACGGACGCAAAGGAAAGAGGTGGATTTGCCCTGCCAGACCTTAAACTTTATTATGAATCAGCAGCTTTTTGCTGGCTGAAAGAGTGGCTACTTCTTGAAAACACAGACATTTTGGATTTAGAAGGTTTTAATAATGTATTTGGATGGCATGCATATTTGTGGTATGACAAGGTCAAAGCACATAAAGCATTTAAAAATCATATTGTCAGGAAAGCATTGTTTAATGTCTGGATAAGATACAAGGACTTATTGGAAAATAAAACCCCAAGGTGGTTGTCACCGATGGAAGCGAAAGCTTTGAAAAAGCTCAATATGGAGGCCAAATGGCCGAAATATTGGGAAATTTTGGAACAAGAGGGAGACAGATTGAAATTGCAGAGTTTTGAAAAACTAAAAATAATGTGCGAGATTGGCTTCATTATTATCAGATAATGGAGGCATATAATTTGGACAAGAAAATTGGCTTCCAGGTGGAAAAATCAAAATTGGAAACAGAACTGTTAGAACCCAAAACCAAGATTTTGTCAAAGATGTATAACTTGCTGTTGAAATGGAATACTCAGGATGAAACGGTGAAATCTGCTATGATTAAATGGGCACAAGATGTTGGACATAACATAATGATGGCTGACTGGGAACAGTTATGGACCACAGGTATGAAGTTTACGGCATGTAATGCCTTAAGAGAGAATATTATGAAAATGATATACAGGTGGTACATGACACCAGTCAAGCTTGCAAAAATCTATCATTTGCCCGATAATAAATGTTGGAAATGTAAAGAAACTGAAGGCACATTCTTTCACCTTTGGTGGACGTGCCCAAGGATTAAGGCTTTCTGGGAGATGATCTATAATGAAATGAAAAAGGTATTTAAATATACCTTCCTGAAGAAACCAGAGGCCTTTCTCCTGGGCATGGTTGGCCAATTGGTGCCAAAGAAGGATAGAACTTTTTTTATGTATGCTACAACAGCAGCAAGAATACTTATTGCAAAGTATTGGAAGACACAAGATCTACCCACCCTGGAAGAATGGCAGATGAAGGTGATGGACTATATGGAACTGGCGGAAATGACTGGCAGAATCCGAGACCAGGGAGAAGAGTTGGTGGAAGAAGATTGGAAGAAATTTAAAGACTATTTACAGAAATACTGTAAAATTAATGAATGTTAGAACGATGTCAGAATGAAGTTACGTGGTTTTAGCAGCAATATTACAAAGGAGTATGTAAAAATGGATTGTTAACAGGTGAGAATCTAAAGTTACAATATATTAAGTTAAAGGATTAGGATAAAAACAAAGAGGGAAAGGATTTGCTGAATTAGCTAACTGGATTGGAATACAAAAAAGGGAGGTGTGAGGAGGTCAGGGAAATAAGTAAATGAAAGACAAGACATGGAAAGACTGATTTGTTTTTAAATGCTTTTACTTTTCTGTATTTTGTATTTTTCCTTTCTTTTCTTTTCTTTTTCCTATTTTTGTAACCTTTTTTTTGAAACTTCAATAAATATCATTTTCAAAAAAAAAAAAGAAAAATACTAAAATAGGTACTATCCCACTTTTCTTTCCTGTTCTTCCCCATTCTCTTTTTTCCAGAAAAGGCAATTTAATTATTGTATTCAAATGAGTCCAGCCCACCTGAGGTTGTTTAGGGCAGAAGGATTTCCCAGAAATCTCTCTTTGAATGTGGCAAAGAATGGAAGAGAACCCCTTCTTTTTTTAAAATGCTGAAAATACGAATTTTAAAAACTGAGTAAAAATGATTCTAGATTCAGGTAGGTAGCCATGTTGGTCTGACACAGTCGAAATGGTATCTGAAGAAGTGTGCATGCACACGAAAGCTTATACCCAGAACAAACTTAGCTGGTCTCTAAGGTGCTACTGGACAATTTTTTAATTTTTTAATTTATTTTGACTGAGTAATATGAATTTTAAAAAATGAAAAGCAGGGACAAGCCTTGGTGATTTTGTGTAGTTGTCTGCCTCTGGCTTGCTCCCAGAAATGTCTTCCACACCAGGAAAATAAAAATTGGCCTGACCCTCATTAGTGATGGATGTAAGGTTTGATTTAGGGACGCGGTTAAACCACAGAGCCTAGGACTTGCCGGTCAGAAGGTCGGCGGTTCGAATCCCCTCGACGGGGTGAGCTCCCGTTGCTCGGTCCCAGCTCCTGCCAACCTAGCAGTTCGAAAACACGTCAAAGTGCAAGTAGATAAATAGGTACTGCTCCAGCGGGAAGGTAAACGGCGTTTCCATGCTTAATGGTTTTGCCAGAAGTGGCTTAGTCATTCTGGCCACATGACCCGGAAGCTGTACGCCGGCTCCCTCGGCCAGTAAAGAGAGATGAGCGCCGCAACCCCAGAGTCGGTCACGACTGGACCTAATGGTCAGGGGTCCCTTTACCTTTACCTAAGTGTGCAATGAGCTTTGGAAGCATAGTGCATATGTTTTGTTTATACTGTACTCCAGATGTCTTTGGAGCCTCTGTTGACCATCCTTGACCTGCACATGAAAGTTCAATGGTCAGTCATTGGTCAGTTCTCCTCTCCTGCACATTCCTCTATCAGTCACATGCAATGAGCTTTACACCCACCCACACCCAGGTTTTTTCTGTGAATGTAAGAAGAGGCCTGCAAGGGCAGGTCAGAGTTCCCCCCAGTCCAGCAACCAGCTTCCTAAAGTGGGTTGGCTGCCTCCGGGAACACAGGAAGCTGCCTTATACTGACCCAGAACGTTGGTCCACTGACTGGCAGCAGCTCTCCATATTCCTAGCCTTACATGGAGATGCCAGGGATAGAGACTGGGGCCTCCTGCTTGCAGTGCAGATGCTCTCCCACTGAGCTACAACTCTTCGCAGCTATGGAAGTCTACAAGCTGGCTGTACAGGAAGGAGAGCCCTCCAGTTGCCCCCCAGCAACTGATTTTCAGATACAGTTGTACCTTGGAAGTCGAACGGAATCCATTCTGGAAGTCTGTTCAACTTTCAAATGTTTGGAAACCAAGGTGCGGCTTCCAGTTGGCTGCAGGAAGCTCCTGCAGCCAATCGGAAGACATGGAAGTTCCGTTCCATTTGCAAACCGGAACACTCACTTCTGGGTTTGCAGCATTCGGAAGTCAAAATGTTTGACTCGCAAGGCGTTTGGGATCCAAGGTACAACTGTGCATAATGCTTTTGTGCATGGAGTTTCCATTATGTTTTCTGGCAGCTGATAGACCTATCTTCCATACATTTGTCTAATCTCTCTCTAAACTAATGAGCACCACCACATATTTTGGCAGTAGCCTTAAACCTCTGGAAAAAACCACTGTGTGGCCAGTTCTTGCGCAAACGGGCCCATCTGTTTTGAAATACAGTGCTGCTATCTTAGAGGCTCCATGCATTAGTGCTGGAGCCATTGCCCTCTGTTGATAAATTTCAAGATGTCAAACCCTTGGGAATACTTGAGTCCCTTCACAAGCTCCCTTAAATGTATTGTGCTGACCTGTGGCTGTAGCACATGAAATGCTGCGCTTAGACCAGGGACACCCAAGTTAAATTCCCTGCCTGATTGTGAAGGTTACTGAACAGTCCTGGACCTCACAGTGATCTCATGAGATTGAAATGAGAGAGTTTCCTACATTTGTTTAAGCATTCACAGTCAGCCTTTTAGGACCACGTTGGATGCATAGGCATTTCAGACTGGTATACGTAACAGTTAGAAATCAGCTCTGATCACATGAGCCAGCTTTACTTTTTGGGAAAGGCAGCACTGAAAAAATAAGTCTTTAAGACAGCCTACTCAAACTAGGCGCCTTCCAATGGTTTTGAACTACAACTCCCATCAGCCCTAACTAGCCTAGCCATGCTGGTGAGGCTGGTGTGAGTTGAAGTCCAAACTCCCGGAGAGTGCTAGTTTGGCAAAGACTGCTTGGAAGACTGTAATGTAAGGGCCAAGATCCTTTCAGAAGGGACTTCCCCAACCATACAGCTCTTGCATGTTTTGGAGGAAAGGCTGGATGCAAATGTGGCTTGTCGTGATGATCGTAGGAGCAAATTCACCAAAACTGGGAATACAACAGTTAAGGCGAAGCTTGGTGTGATCACCGCCTAGGCATGGCCTGGAGAAAGTGGTGGAGGAAAGCTCTTTCTCTCTTTCTCTCTTTCTAGCCCTAAAACTTGGGGACACCCAAGGAAGCTGGATGTTGGAAGACTCAGGACAGACAAAAGGAAGTACTGCTTCACACAACTCATTGTTAAACTAGGGGAGTTGTTCCCACAAGATGGCTGCCAACCTGGATGGCTTTCAGAGAGGATTAGACAAATTCTTGGAGGATCATGTTGGTGGTGGTTATGAGCCACACTGTTCTTCCTTCACTGTCAATGGCAATATGCCTCTGGATTACAGATGCTGGGAATCACCAGTGGGGAAGGTGCTGTTGTGCTCAGGTCCTCTTTGTAGGCTTCCCACCGAGGCATCTGGTTGGCCACTGTCAGAACAGAAAGTTGGACTAGATGGGCCATTGGCCTGATCCAGCCGGCTCGCTGTCTGTTCTGATGAGACAGAAGAACCCAGTTTGACTACCACAAAGGACTGGCTGCTGTTGCACGGAACAAGCCTGAAGCTTAAGGGTTCACAATGGGGACCTGCCTGTGTGCTGTGACCCGAACCAGCCTTTTCCAACCTGTTTTGTTCCTGATGTTTTGGACTACAACTCTCTTCGGTCTCAGCCAGCTTTACCAGTATTTAGGAAAGATGGGTGTTGTAGCCTGAAACGTGGATGGCAACAGGTTGGCTGGTCTGAATAGTCCATTTAACATCATTGAAGTGAAGGAGGCAGGAGGTCTGCCTGAGGTGTGGATGCGAGACTCCCAGGCTGCCCCCAAACTCCTTGAAATCAGGAAGTCAGGAAACAAGTGTAATGCTGCAACTAATAACTATGTGGGGCACAAAGGAAGTTTTGGCAGACAAGTTTACATCTATGTTGTTGCAGTTGCTGTGGTTTTATTCTATAGATGGCAGTTGCTTTTTGGGAAGTTGGTCTTCTTGCCAGAACTCAGAGAGTTGGGACTTTCCTTAATTTATTCATCTTTTTAGTGCTGCTTTTCCTTTGTTGATTTTTTTAAAACCAAAAAACCATGAGTCTTGATCTTGCTCAGTCTCCTGCCTTTGCTGTCCATGCAGGACACCCAGGCAGGACTCCATGTGGCTTCCTGCAACAGTAGACTTATCTCTCCCTGAAGAAAATAGTGCTTGAAGGGTATTACTTTCCCCCCTTTACTTCCCCTCATTTTCAATGAGTAGGGGTAAGCAGAAATGGTTGGGAAAGGGAAGTGAGTCAGTTGAGATTTTAATGTTAGCCACAAAGTCAGGGAAAAGATGAGTTATGCAAGTTTGCTGTGGAGGTTTGGTGTGGGTGCTACTTATTGGTTGGCACCCATATCACTAAGAGACCTGTGCTAAATTTGTGGAAATACCATACTTCTCCATCTATAAGGCGTGCCCATGTATAAGACACCCCCTATTTATGGGACTCAGTTTTAAGAAAATGAGGGGAGATGGCCCAGAGTTGTTGAGCTTCTCCCCCCAATGCAGCTGCGGGCAGGAAACACTCCCTAGGTCGTTTCCTGCATCAGGGGAAGTTGCGCTCCCACCAACCAGCAGGCTGGCAGGCGTGCTGCTCCCCCCCCCCCCCCCGCAAATGCCACTACCCGTGTATTGGACGACCCCAGTTTTTTGACAGGGTGTTTCAGTCAATATGGTAGTTTTGCCCTTTATTCATTTTTTAATTTATTAACGTGAATAAAAAGGGACCCGTTGTCACAGCTCCCAGTTCTTGCCATTTTTATTATTAATATTTATTGGTCATTTTACTCACAGAAATGATTCAAAGTGATTTACAACCACAGACACTAAAGCCCTGGAAAGGTATCCTCAGTTACCTACAGCCCATCCTAGACAAGGATGCTTCTCTTTTACAGGGACCTGTGTTTGCTTTGACACAGTCCTGCTCCCCACCCCCAACCTAAAACAGCTATTTAACTAGCAGGTCACATTAGCAGATCCAGATGCCAAATTTGTTCCCCATGTCATGGCAACGCTTTTATGGGACCTAATAATGTCATCTACATCATCAGAGGTTCATTTACCTGCTCATTTTCTGAAAGTGCTGACAGTGACCTTCTGTATTCTACATAGGAGAGACAGTCTCAGCGCAAGACAATAATTGGATGTAAAATTGGTATCAGAAATGGCAATATTGAAAAACAAGTTGGGGAACAATTCAGCTTCTCAGGCCCTCAGCAACTGACCTTACAGTGGCCAAAGTAGCAGAGGGAGCTTCAGAGAGAGACTTGAAAACTGCTGAATGATAATTAATCAAGAGGTTCAAATGCTATCCCTTGCGGATTGAATCAGCACAATGGATTTTCATCACATTACATATGCTAATGGCTTACCAGTACTGGTTGTGTTATTAGCATGGTGTATTCATGAATGGTCACTGTTAAAAATGTAATTATCACCATTTGTGCTTTTCTCTGTCCATTTTTCTTCTGACCTTACTGTTTACAATTCCTCTCCCGGCAGCATGTGTTTTATTTATTTATTTAGAAAAAATACAAACTGCTTAATTTTTATTTATATATAAATAAATAATTTTAAATAATTATCTTTATACAGATCTATATGATTTGCACTTAAATACTTAGCCTTCCTTTCAGTCTTTAATCCAGACACATCTTGTAATATATTTTTACTCTCATCATTCATATTTTTAACCAAGAGTTTGGTTTTATCTTTATTAATCTTAATACCTGCTACCTTGCCAGATTTGTTTATCTCTTGTAATACTTTCAGGATTGACTCAATTGGTTCTTCTACAGATATCACCATGTCGTCTTTCTCCTCCTTTTGGCTGGACTCAGCGTGGCCCTCTGCTCTGTTACAAACAAGATTTTATTGTGGTGGCGTTAGGATAAGAACAAGGAAAAGGCAAGCCGGGATGGCACACTGGTGGTCCGGTTCCAGCTGGGAGCCCCCCATGAAGACAGAAATGTCAGGAAATATCAAAGCTGAGCTTTTGGGGCTGTCAAGTAATAATATATATTTTACAGTTACTTGGTGGAAAGAAAGCAAGAGAGAGAGAAGGGCGGGGAGACAAAAGAAAAGTATTTTAAAGATTTCTCCTTCTTGGGATGCCAGGAAAATTAGTTATTTTAATCCCAGCCTCCCATTCATAGAATGCTTCCCTGCTCCAAATGCCAAAAGTGGATGAAAGATGGTGGCTCCTCCCAGCTGCACTTGCTCATTGCGCTTGGAAATGCTGTAGCTCCGCCACTGCTTTGCATGCAGAAGGTCTGGATAGGGTTGGGAGAGACCACTGCTTGATACCCTGAGCTCCGTGGAGTCAGGATAAGGCAGCCTCCTAAGTTCCCATGAAGAGGTGTGGCAAGGGAAGCTTGGGGTCTTGTATAAGCAACCTGAAGAATTGTTTTCGGGTGGCATGATTTGTTTAGATGTGGGCAGAGAAGCAGAGTGCATTTCGCAAGGTTCCCACAAGATCATTCAGCGTGTCTGAGAACAGGGCTCTCCCCTGGTGTTGGGCCCTCAAGATGTTGCTGGACTCCCATCGTCCTGGACACATTGGCCATGCTGGCTGAGGCTGATGGTCTTCCTAGTCCAAACAGAGGGGTCAAAGTTGAGGGAGGCTATTCTAAGCAGCAACCACATCAGTTACAGTTTGTGTCTGTAGGGCCAAAGGGTCTTTGTTCTTGCCTTAATTCAAAACATGGTGCTTGTGTGTATTAAGTACCCGTTCAGATGACATGATTTGCTTGCAGAAAGTTTACTTGGAGATTAGACTGTGTCCAGT